GAGGGCACGTGAGGGTGTCAGTGAGGCCGAGGCCGCGGGGGTGGGTGTTGGGGAGGGATTGGGGCCTCCCCTTCAGGTGATCTCAGAGTGCTCGGAGGAGGCTTGGGCGAGTCGTGACGGGGCCGGAGGGAGCAGGGCGGTCTGGACCCGGCGGCAGCACGCGCTAGGTCCGGCGCCTGTCCTCAGGCCGTGGACTCGGGGGGAGCCCGTTTCCGGGACTAGTTGGGCTCCGGGCTGTGCGTGGGGGCGGGGCTGCCAGCCTGGGAGTGACGCGGGACTTCCCTGCCCAGCGCAATCCGGCCTGGACCCCGAGGGTGGGGAATGGGGCGACGCCCGCGGGGACCACGCTGTGCGGCGTGCGGGGCGCAATTCTCGGGGCTGGGCTGCCCCAGGGGCTGGGAGGAAGGAGGCGGAGGAGCGCCCAAGTCTCCTACCCATGGCGGCGCATCAGGACGCGTCCCAGAGCTGGGGGCGGACGGAGGCTCCGAGGCGGAGGCTCTGGTGACCCCAGACCTGGGCCAGAGCAGCCTCCGCGGGCCCTGGAGGGAGGGTGGAGGCAGAGGCCCGGGCTGCAGGAGTCGGGGGGGCCTGAGCCACGGCGGTGGGGCCGCTCGCCAGGGGAGAGGGGCCACCCAAGCCGCAGCAAGGGGCTGGGGTGGGGGCCCAGGACGAGGGGCTGTCTGGCCCTGCCGTGTGAAGGTGAGGAGGGGCGGTTCAGGTGGAGGTGGTGCGGGGGAACTGGGAAACTGGCAGGAGGAGCTCTATGCAGAGCCGGGGGTGGGGGGGTGAACCACGTGCAGAAGGTAGCTGAGACCCCGGGGCCCGGGCCCCCGGAAATTAGAGATGGAGACGTGGAAGGCTGGGTGCTGGCGTTTCACAAATCCATGCTCGTGGTTTCCTCTTTATGTAAGGGATGCTTCTGGGCCTTTTCCCTGCCTGTCGAAAGTTGTGTGTGTGTGTTTGGGGGGCGGGGTGGGAGGTGACGGTATGCTGTGTTTTGCTCCACTTTGAGGCACCGCCCCGCCGCAGCCCGCACCCTCACGGCCTCTGCTCCCAGGTGGCAGGGCCGCCCCCACTGCGGGAGGGCTGGGTACCTGCCTCATGGGGCATCCTCGGGGCCAGCCCTGTGGCCGTAGGCATCTGGGCCCTCGCTGCCCCTGGCCGGAACACTCTGCTGGTCCTGTGCAGTGGCTTCAAATTCCCTCTCCCGGGGGTGACCCGGTCTCTCCGGAGATGAAGTGGGGAGGGGGTCTAGGCCGCCTTCCTGGCCCCCCAGCCCTCCTGGTTTTACCCCCGAGGCCACGTCCAAAGCCCCCAGCGCCCCACCCCTGCCAGCCTCCCCCTTGAGGGCCCAGTGGCCTAACTGGGTCGGCAGGGTCCGAGGAAGACCAGGGTCAGCAGCGGCGCGGTCCGTTCCCCGACCCCGTCACCTGTGACCCACCTGTTCCCCGTGAGGTTCCGCCCCAGCGCCCCCCTCCCGGGCTCCTCCCTCTTTTCTCAGCCCGGGAGGCGCGGATAGCCGGGTTGGGCGTAACCGTGGGGCGAGGCCCGCCGGTCTTTCTGTTTTCGGAGAGCGGGGTGGACGCTGAGGCAACCGCGGTCAGGACCCGGCCGGGAGTCGGGGCTGCTCCCTGGACCCCGTCTGCGCCGAAACCCCGCATGGCTTCGGATCTGCGCCCGCGCCTAACCCCGGCCGCCGGAGACGCAGTGCGGACCCCAAGCCAGTGCGCGGACGACAGTCCTACCCTCGGCGGGGGCGCAACGCGAGTCCGTGTGTCCCGGCGCGCGGGGAGCTGGTCCGAGGCCGGAGGGAACGCTCGCGGCGTGGCTGCCTCCCACCGAGCCACTTCGGTCCCCACGCCCCACCCCGACGGCGCAGGCGACCTGGGGACGCCCAGGACGCGGAGACGCAAACAACTCGGGACTGAGGTTCGTGGGAGCAGCGGCCGCGCGTCGCGATGACCGTCCCGGGAGCCCGTGCTCAGGGCGTCCCCGTGAGGTTTGGGCTCCACAGTCCCCGGCGGCTCTGCCCCCGCCCTGGCCACAGTGGGGACAGCCCGGCTTGGCGGGGACGCGCCAGTCCCGCAGCCGAAGCGGAGTGTCTACCCCGCCGCGCGAGGCAGTGGCTCCGGCCCTTCCAGCTCCGGATGGGGTCAGGGAGCCGCCCGCGCCCGCATGCGGAGGCTGCTGCGATGGCCCCGGGAGTGAGTCCCCCAGAGGAGCCGGAGTAGGGCTGGAAGCGGACGAGTGCCCCGAGAGGCCCCTCCCGACATTGCCGTCCCCGCGCGCCGCTCCCCGAGCCCTCCGCGTCTTTCCCGGAAAGCGTCCCTCGGTTCCTGCGCGACCGCACAGCCTGGACGCAGCGCACGCGGGCACCGGCTGAGTCCGCCCTGACTCTCCCAGCCTGAAGCCTGCTCGCCCTCGGGTGTCCGGGCTGGGCACAGGTGCCAGCGTCCCCCTGGAGAGGAGAGGTCGCCCGGCACCGCCCAGGGCAGGCCCGAGTGGGAGCGGGACCCTCCTACCTTCCAGCAGCCTCGGCCCGCGGGGTGGGGGTTGGGAGAGATGAAAGGAGGTGACCGACCCCGAACCGTCCCCTCTCCATTAACCAGGGCCCGCAGCCCCGCCCCTGCCCCAGACACCGCGGAGCCGGGGAGGTGTGAACCGTCTCCTTTGTGTCTCTGAATCGAAGGCAATTAGGCGCTGCTTATCCGGGCATTAGCCGTGTATGCAAACCGGGCTCCCGCCCCCTCCTCCCGGGCTTATAAACGCCGCCGCCCGGCGAGGCCGGAGGTGGATCCTGCGCCTGGCCAGCCCCGCCCGGCCTTCCCTCCGGCCCACCTGGCCGCCATGCGCCTCTCCTCCTCCCCACCTCGTGGCCAGCAGCAGCCCTCCAGCTTTGGCTCTGTGGACTGGCTCTCCCAGAGCAGCTGCTCAGGGTTGACCCCCACGCCCAGGCCTGCCGACGTCTCCCCGGGGAGCCTCCCTGGCCCGGGCCAGGTATCCGGCGCCCGGGAGCCCCCTCAGGCCATCAGCATCAAGGAGGCCGCCACGTCCTCAGATCTGCCTGCGCCGGAGAGGACCGTGGCTGGTAGGTCCGGGCCGGGGGTCCCTTCCTTCCCAGGTGGAGATGGGAGTGGGGGAGACGCCAGGAGCCCGGCGGCTGAACTCCCCGCGGTGCGGGGCGGACGAGGTCAGGGCCGGGGACGTTTCCATGAGGGCCGGCGGAGGCCTTGCCTGCGCCTCACTGGAGCGCAGCTTCCCTCGAAACCAAAGCCTTGACGGGGATTTTCTCTCCTTGAGCCCCCGGTGGGCTCCTCTGCCTCCCTTGGCACCCCGTTCCTCAGCTGTGTCCCACCGCGGCCTGGTGCCGGGGGACCGTCCAAGGGGTCCCTGTCCGCACCTCTCTGCCCTGATTCCGGGCGCTCACTGAAACACAGCGCGGGCGTGGGCACCTGTGGCCCTGGTGTTCCAGCCCCGCAACCATCGGGACCCAGTTCCAGGGGTCCGACGATTTGCCAACCCCCGTCTGTCCCCAGCAAAGCCGGTGCCTGCTCAGCATCTAGGCTCAAGCCCATTCCAGGCCACCTGGAGCACAGCTGTCTTTCAAAGAGCCTGCAGGTTTGCTGTAGGGGTGGCGGTGACCCGGTGCCTGCAGAAACTCTGAAGTTCGGTCTGTGGCCCGGAGATGCTCTGTTGTCTGCTGAGAACAAAGGCTCTCCGCGTTTGTGTTTTAGTCTTTGTGACATCGTTGCCGCTTTTAGGTTTAAGGTAGTACTTGGTCAAAAGTGGGGTTAACATTATAAGTTTTCATTTTTAAAAATTTGACTGATCCGGCCGGGCGCGGTGGCTCAAGCCTGTAATCCCAGCACTTTGGGAGGCTGAGACGGGTGGATGACGAGGTCAGGAGATCGAGACCATCCTGGCTAACATGGTGAAACCCCGTCTCTACTAAAAAATAACAAAAAACTAGCCGGGCGATGTGGCGGGCGCCTGTAGTCCCAGCTACTCGGGAGGCTGAGGCAGGAGAATGGCGTGAACCCGGGAGGCGGAGCTTGCAGTGAGCTGAGATCCGGCCACTGCACTCCGGTCTGGGCGACAGAGCAAGACTCGGTCTCAAAAAAAAAAAAAAAAAAAAAAAAATTTGACTGATCCTCATGGAGTAACTTTGTACTTCAGGGAAATGAAAATTTAAATATGTTCTTCCCAGCTAGCTATCCTGCCCCACCCCAAAAAAGTCAACCATTCCTGTCCCCCAACCCCCTTCCTGATCCCAGTCCTACAGCCCTCCTCGCCACAAGGCATTTGCTTTTCAGGTCTCCCATGTGCTTTCAGGCTAACGTGAAGACAGATTTCGTAAAATACGCTTCCTTCCGCAGAAACTCCAGTGAGCATTTGGGTCAGACTTGTGTTAAATGTTGAGTTCGTTTCGCCACGTTGGCCTCCTTCCTGGGACCCAGACCACACACCACCTTGTGGGGTTGTTTAGTGCCGGCCCCCATTCCTTAACTTAGAAATTAGAAAACAGACTTGACCAAGGTGGGCCTGCGGATTAACTGAGCTGGGCTCTGCTGGCTGAGGAGCCCAGGACAGGGACCGAGTTCCCTGGATGGGTCCCCAGGCCTTTGCATGTAATGGACTCTACCTTACCTGCCTGGAAGTCTGCAGAAAGGGCATCCTGGGAACCGGCTTCGGAAGGGAAGTGTGGGATGGGGCCGAATTGAGTGAGCTGAGCCAGCTGAGCGGAGGGCAGGCCCAAGCTGCTGGTAGCATTCTCCCTCCCCTGAGTCACCTCTCTGAGCCCCTTTCCGCACGCACATGACCTGGAGGCTGCGGCAGGGCTGCTGGTCACTGTCAGGTGAGAAGATCTGCCCTGCCCAGCCCCCAACATGGCTGTCTTCACCTGTTACCTGTGGGCGAGGCTTGCCCCATGGGGTGGCAGGCTCAGCCAAATGCTCTTACCCTCTATGCCAGGGTTGAGTAAGGAGCCAAATACCTTGCGGGGCCCCCGTGTCCGCACAGCCTTCACCACGGAGCAGGTCCGCACCTTGGAGGGCGTCTTCCAGCACCACCAGTACCTGAGCCCTTTTGAGCGGAAGAGGCTGGCCAGGGAGATGCAGCTCTCAGAGGTCCAGGTGAGGCGGGCCGGGCTGAGGTGGGCAAGGGTGGGCCGGTGGCCTAGTCTCACCCCTGCTCTGATTTTGGTTTTCCTGCAGATAAAAACCTGGTTTCAGAATCGCCGGATGAAACACAAACGGCAAATGCAAGAAGTCCCGCCGAACAGCCCCTTCCTGGGGTCTCTCCACGTGCCCCCAGCTTTCCACTCACCGTCTTCTGGCCTTGCCAATGGCCTGCAGCTGCTGTGCCCTTGGGCACCCCTGCCTGGGCCCCAGGCTCTGATGCTGCCCCCGGGCTCCTTCTGGGGTCTCTGCCAAGTGGAACAGGAGGCCCTGGCCTCTACGGGGGCTTCCTGCTGCAGGCAACCTCTGGCGCACCACCCCCCAACCGCAGGAAGTGGCCTGCCTGCACCGGGACCAGCCCTGTCCACGGGGCCCTGGGGCCTGTGCGCTCTGCCGGAGACAGGGGATGCCTTTTGAGGAAGCGCCTCTGACTCTCCCACGCTCACGGTCTGGCGGATTGCACCTGGCTCCTATCTGGAGGACTCAGCTGTTGTGTTTACATCGTGGTGGCGCCTCTCACCCTGACCACACGAAGATTCTGGAGATTTCTGGAGAATAGATATATATGTATGTATGTATCTCTCTCTCTCTATATATATATATGTATATGTGTATATATATGTATTTTTTTTTTTTTAAGACAGAGTCTTGCTCTGTCGCCCAGGCTGGAGTGCAGTGGCGTGATCTTGGCTCACTGCAACCTCCACCTTCCGGGTTCAAGCGATTCTCCAGCCTCAGCCTCCTGAGTAGCTGGGATTACAGACGCACGCCACCACGCCCAGCTAATTTTTTCTATTTTTAGTAGAAACGGGATTTCACCATGTTATCCAGGCTTGTCTTGAACTCCTGACCTCGTGATCCGCCCGCCTTGGCCTCCCAAAGTGCTGGGATTACAGGCATGAGCCACCACTCCCGGCCCTGAGAATATATTTATTAAAGCCACCTCTTCACTGAAAGTTACCGAAAGGGTCGGTTTAGGAAGTAAATGAAGGGTCAGTGAACAGAGTCAGATGCAGAAGTGGGCTTGTCATGGGTAGGGCTTTCAGCGTACGATAAAAGGATCATTTGTTTTTTAAGAAGTGTTGGAAAAACTGGTTTTCCAGTTGGAAACAGTAAAGGTGGTAAGCTTTGTGTGTAAAAAAGAAAACCAGGAAGGATTGGAAGGGAATGCAGGTGTCGTGTTTACAGCCTTGTGGTTCAAGTCCCTCTTAACAAGAACTCCAAAGCTGGAAAGCAGGAGGGAACAGGTGAAAATGAAGGCGGGGATGCTGGGGTCCTGCAGTGTGCTCTGGGCGGTGCGTGAGCCGGGACTGCCCACGGCCTACTGGAGGCTGCTCTTCTCCAGCCCGGGAAGGTGGGGCAGCTGGGACCTGCGGCTGTGCCTGGACTGAAGCTGTCCCGCAGGTCCCCACCCTCCAGCACCAGCTCACCTGCCCCCTCCTCACAGCAGCCTCGGGACAAAACAGAATGACTCAAGGACAGCACTTCCTGCAGAAGGTCTGGAAGTGCCCAGAATGGGAGGCTGGGAAGCCCCTCCCGGGGAGAACTCCCCCATGGATGGACCATTCTTGGTGCAGACTCCTGACTGCATGCGTGGAAACTTAGACAAGTGAGCATCCGTCCACGTCGCCTCAGAGTGCCCAGGGGGCAGGCAGTGCAGGGCGCCCAGGCGACAGGTTCAGCCTGCAGGACTGCGACCTGTGAAACCCACCCGGGCACCCCAACAGGAGCAGAAGCGTGGTCCTGCGGCCGTGTCCACAGCGAGTTCCACTTTCCCCTTGCTCGCTTCTGCCTTGTTGGAAGTGTTTACAGCTGGATGTGATTTTATAATACAACGCCAGGTAAGAGGAGAACAGGTGCTGTGCGTCCGTCCTGGTGAGTGACCATGTGAGGGAAGCCTGGGTGAGGCCCTTGGAGGGCAGTGGCTGGACAGGGGCTCCTGGTGGGGCCTGGGCAGCACTGGTTTGTGGATGTGGATTTGTGGATGTGGATGGGGGCACATCCGTGATAAAAGTACAAGTGCCCCTCGCCGCCCTTGGGGATTGCTCTCCGGTCCCCTGTGTGGCCCTGGGCCGCAAACCACACAGTCTTGGCCCTGAACTCCCCTGGTGAGTAAGGGCCCTGGCCCGGTGTTGTCTTGACGTCCTGTCAGCACACTGGGCCCTACAAGGTGGACAGCCCATTGGGGCAGAGATGGGCCTGTTCAGAGCCACACCTGGACCTTCTTAGGGCCCTGGCTCCATCCTGCAGATGAGGAGCTCTGGAAAAGGACAAAGTCCCGGAGGCTGAGGAGTGGGGCGGGTTCCAAGTGCCCAGCAGGGACCTAGACCCTGAGTTCCGGGGGGTCCACAAGGCCCTCAGGCCCAGGGAAGGCTCTGCCACCAGTGATTTCCAAACTTCCCTCCCCATTCCCCATCCGGGGCTGCAGGGACTTGGCCCAGGCCCCATGGGCTGCTGGTATCTGAGTGGACCTTGAAGACCAAGATGCCCCCAAGCCCTCCTCCACCCACCTGCTGCGTCACTAGATGACAGGGCCTTCCTCGCATCCCCGCAGCCCGTTTCCCCCTCTCCCCTGGGGTCCTCTGACTGACCGCTGGACGTCAGGCCCCGAGTTTGGCAAGTCCTCTGCTCCTGGATGCCCCCAGCTGCCCCCACAAGCCCAGTGCCCCAGGTGCTCTCGGCCCCACCCCACTCAACATCCCCAGGTGGACATCTGACAGGCATGGGGGGTCCTGACGTGACGGCGGCCGCAGGGCGGCGGGGCAGAGACACCACACGCCCTGGGCAGAGGAAGGCGGTTAGACGCGGCCTCTGTGAGGAGGTCTCAGCAGAGCTGGGCACCAGGGCTGTGGCCGGACGAGCCGGAGGGCAGGGCTTGGGGGGTAGGACGGGGGCCCTCAGGGTCCAGCTCTGAGTGACAGGCAGAAAGTCCTGGGGTGTGGCCAAGATGCATCAGAAAACAGCTGTGTCTAGACACCCCTCCCAAGCTCCCCAGTGATTCCTGCTGAAGCGGAGTCACCTGTGGGCGTGTCATGTGTGCTGTGCGTGGCGTGTGAGTGGGTGTGTCACGTGCTGCACATGGTGTGTGAGTGGGTGTGTCACGTGTGATGTGCATGGTATGAGTGCGTGCGTGTCATGTATGAGGATTGTGTGGTGCTCTGGATGTGGGGTGTATATGTGTTGTGTGTGCGTGTGTAGCTATGCACGTGTGGTGTTACTGTGTATCGTGTGTGTTCTGCATGTGTAATGAGTGCTGTCGTATGTAGCATGTGTGCATGTGTAGTGAACGTGTCTACTGTGTGTTGTGTATGTGCACTACGTGTGTGTCGTGTGTGCTGTGCATGTTGTATGGTGAACTTGTGCAGTGTACGTGGGTGTGTAGTGAACGTGTGTACTGTGTGTGTCGTGTGTAGTGAACGTGTGTGCTGTGCGTGTTTTGTGTAGAATGTGTGTGGGTGTGTAGTGAACGTGTGCTATGCATGTGTCATGTAGTGAACGTGTGTGCTGTGTGCGTGTCATGTGTCTCTCCCAAGCCCCAGACACCCTTTGTCACTGCCTTGTCCTCTCTGTATGTAACCCGAGCGGCTGTCAGGACAGAGAGGCTGTGGGCCCGGGTGTGGACGCTGGTGAGCTCTGGCTGCCGCCAGGCTCCTGCTCACCCTCCTTTCCCTCTGAGCTGTTCAGCCACATGGGGCCAAGGGCTGTGCCGGCTCCTTCCCCGCAGGTTGGGTAGGAGGGGCAGTTGCTATGAAATAATCTTGCCAAGAATCTCTGGGAACCTCCACATCTAACTTCCAGTGGACAGGAACCCTCGGGGACTCCCAGGGTACTCAGCTGGGCTCCTGCAGAAGCCTCTGGGAGAGGGTGGGGTGCCCTTGGTGCAGAGGCCGAGGCGACACAGCCGCAGACGCACGCATGAACCGTGATGAAGAAGTGTGGGAAAGCACGGACCCGTACAGCTGGTGGGGACGATTCCGAGGGCTCAGGACAGTGCTGGGGAGTGGTCCGTGTCCTCAGGTGTGGAGAAACCCTGTCTCCAGAGGCAGCACTCAGGGCCTCAGATCTGAAACTGACATTCAAAGGGTTCAAAACACAGCATGACATAAATATGGCAGAATATCCACTGCCCTCTCCGTGGGGAGTCCGCGGGGCTCGTGCACTTCTCTTTCAGAGTCTGCACCTGAGACTATCCAGGAAACTGCAGGGAGGGTCTGCTTGGACTCGGAACCACAGCTCTTCTGGGGAAATGGCCACCGTGCTGGAGAGCAGGGGCCTGTCCTCTCACAGCCCAGCAGGTGCTGTTGACACACAGCCCTGCGGGGACAGAGCCAGGCAGGGTACGAGCGAGCGCAAAGTGAAGCAGAGGAACAGAGCCGAGTAGGGTACGAGCACAGAGTGAGGCAGAGCCTTTGGCTCCCTGGATCCAGCCGTGCCTGCATCCGCCATTCGGCTGACGCCGTCTGTAGCTGCTGCGTGTCCACACAGCACAGTGAGGTGACACCTGCTTTAGTCTGTGCAGATTTAAAACCCTATGTTAAGGTGTCCTGTGGAGAGTGACTCAAAGGCCTGGAAGAGACTCCTGAGTGGGGTCAACCTCCACCGTTCCCCAGGGAGTTGGGGGGAGCAGCCGAGCTCATCGGGGTGGGGGGCGTGGCTGCCCTTCCACATGTGACCTGCAGCCGTCCCAGCTGGAGGCACCCCACCCCTCTGCCTGCTGCCCGAGCTTTCCCCTGGGACACCCAGGCTGCCGGCTGTGAGGGAGGTGGGAGGTGACTATCAGATGAGATTAGTGGTAGGCTTGGAGAGGAGACGCGGCTGGGGGGAGGCAACCCCGATAAGGGCGCCTGAAGGCCTCCCGCTCAGCCGGCTCATTGCTCTGTTTGCTGGGCTCATTGGTAGCAAAGGCTGCGGCCTTCAAAGACCTGGGCGTGGCCCTGCCGGCTGGCGAGGACTCTGGCTGAAGGGTGGGGTCTCCCGGCCTCCCATTCAGGCCTCCTCTTAAGACAGCAGCTGACAGTCATTCTTTAAACCAGCGTGATGAGGGACCCCCTGTCCATTTTTCATCAGCGGGAAGTCAAGACCACAGTCCCACCCTGGCCATTGTGGAGGCTGGGAAGCTGCAGGACCCCCACCCAGGGCAGACCAGTGTCCCGCACCCTCACAAGCCGTCCCTCTGGGCTCTCCCAACACTGCCAGCCGGTCCCAGGCTCTGGACTTGTTCCAGCGACCCTGGTCATCAGGAGGGTGGCCCCAGACCGGCGCCCAGCCCAGGCCCCCAACCAAGGCCCCAGGACCCATTTCATCCCCCTTAGGTTCACACATTTTTAACTAAGTTCCCCCAAGCCCACGCTTGACATCCGACCACCGCGAATGAGAGGAGACCAGCACGACAGAGCCTCTTTATCAAAATTTGCATTTATTATCAAAACTTTACCACACCTCACACATTTAAATGAAATTAGCTCTACTGACATTTCTGACCAGAAAATCAACTCATACCCGTGATTACAAAAGTAATAAAGGTGTTAAGAAGCAAACGGTGGCCGGGCGCGGTGGCTCATGCCTGTAATCCCAGTACTTTGGGAGGCCAAGGCAGGTGGATCACGAGGTCAGGAGTTCAAGACCAGCCTAGAAAGGTGAAACCCCATCTCTACTAAAAATACGAAACTTAGCCAGGCGTGGTGGCGGCGCCTGTAGTCTCAGCTAGTTGGGAGCCTGAGGCAGGAAAGTCGCTTAAACCTGGAAGATGGAGCTTGCAGTGAGCCGAGATCCTGCTACTGCACTCCAGCCTGGGCAACAGAGCGAGGCTCTGTCTCAAAAAAAAAAAGCAGCAAAAGCGTGCAGACCCAGAGTGCACACGTCCTCCGCCACGCCTCGCTGCCGTCTGCGCCTGGGCCCTCCGCCTCCCGCTGGTGTAACAAGTGGGCCCCGCACGCTGCAGCTTCTGCAAAGAAAACTTCCATAGAATGAGTTGTGGATCCAGCCAGAGCCCAGATCCCGGGCACCCGCCCCACTTCCCCTGAGCACCAGGCGGCGCCAGAGCCAGGCCAGTCCCGCCGCCTCCTGTCCCATCTCCGGTCAGACGGGCCACGGGGCACCGCCCGGCTCCAGCCCTGCTCTCTGCAACCTGGGTCCCAGCCCGGGGGGCTGCAGAGGCCTGGACCACTTCCTCCCCAGACACTTCCCGGACCCACACAAAAGCTCACATCCACGCTTTCCTTGTTCTGGAATATTTGGCCCCTTTCTGCCCCAAGGACGTGGGGACCAAAGCCCCGGGCCCCCCCCGGCCCAGGAGAGAGGAAGCAGGCGGAGTGCCGAGTCAAGACGCAAGTGCCACTGGGGAGGACCCGACCGCCCCATTTTCCCATGCCCTATACCTCTTTAGGCCAGACCCTCAAAGAAGTATATGCATAGGAAAAAGGAACGGCGGGCGGTTCTGCGGGCAGCTCTGCGAAGGGCCAGCTCTTCAGCACCAGGAGATGGCTGTCCTGGGGGAAGGTCTCGTGCCGGGCGGCGGGAGAAGTCGGGACCGAGGCCTGGTGGGCACCAAGATCCTGTGGGAGCAAGGAGGGCAGAGCCAAGGCAGGGCCCAGTTCCCAGAGGCAGGACTTGGGCCTCATCTTACCTGTGGTCCAGCCTCCTGGGCCGCTGGCGTTGGGTAGGCTGTGAGCCTCGTGAGCCTAGGAGGAACAGTGGAGACCTCTGAGCCAGAGGAGCGGTGGAGACCTCTGAGCCGGAGGAGCGGTGGAGACCTCTGAGCCGGAGGAGCGGTGGAGACCTCTGAGCCGGAGGAGCGGTGGAGACCTCTGAGCCGGGAGGAGCGTGGAGAAATCTGAGCCGGAGGAGCGGTGGAGAACTCTCTGAGCCTGGAGTTCTGCTGCTGCCCAGCGAGGTCCACATTTATGCGCAGGGGAGACCTTGGCCGCCACTGTCACATGCAGCCAGAGGGCTGCTCCATGCCAAGGACCCCGTCCCACCCCCGCACCTGCCAGATTGGGGCACAAAGACCTGCTGTGGGAAGAGTGCTGAGG